TAAATAAGCCGGATAAACTCCGGTTATAGCTGAACAAGGCACTAGCCTGTAACATATACCGAGTAATGAGGTTATCGGATCCGCCTTTGGTTTGACCAAAAATTAGACTATTCTTGGTATGATACGAGCTTTTACAGCTCTTTCTACTGTCTTTTGAACTGGTCCTCATAGAAAATTTCCACTCAATATTCCAGATGCGCTATTTGGTTATTTACTCGCACAGTGTTTCCTCCTAGATTGGACAGCTAGATACTACGACAGGCAGATTACATAATCTTTCAGTTTGGGGTTTTTGAAAATTTCAATATGACTTCAATTAACCTGATCAGGCACCCTATGGGTACATGCAACAGACTATCTTCATCATTTACAAAGGAAGAAACCAACACAGTAAAAAGCCCCCCCTTTCGTACCTGTTTACAATGCATTCAGCTTGTTAAATTTACCTTCAGAAAGTGCAGTTTACACTGTTCAGCCAATGTGGATTCCGTCCTGTCACCTTCCAGATCGATTTATTTCATCCGACATTACTACCTCGACTTCCCTTGCAAGTCTAAACTGTTTTATCCATCCTTTGCTTGGTACCCAAAGTGTTATTCGAGCCACGTTTTCTGAGCTGTTATCATTGCTTCAGATGACCTGTCTATAGCTTGTGAGAGAAAGTTACCTCTTCCACCTACCCACTGCGAACTTGCCAACACCATGTGCTTGAAGTTTTGTGACGGGTAACCGCATTGACAGCTTTGGTTTTCTACTCCGGGTACTTGTCTTCTGTAAAGGTAAGAACTGAGCCAGATATCCTCGTTTCTTAGCTGAATGGCGACACTGCTTTGGGCCTTGGTTGAGTAACGGTGGTCATATGTCTGTGTTTATTGCCCTATGAAGTCTATGATTATTAAATGACATATAGATCCTTTCTGACTACAGGCTAGGAGTATCCATGCCTCCTAAGCGACATCGTTCCAACAGGAATACCCCCACAGGTCTTCATTAAATTACACACTAAGAGGAGCCATTATCTCGTCATTATCTCCCCTCTCCAGCCAATGGAACCATGATAATTTGCGAGTGTGTAGCTGCAGGGAAAAGTCTGAATAACCACTCGGTGTGAGGCTCTCCTATGGCGAAGAGGCCGGCCGGCCGGGCGCAGCAGACTTGTGTATACCTAAGAGCGTCTCTCAACCTTCCTAGCCTCCTCCTTACTCCTCCCTTGATTCATGCCTCAGGACAAACCGAAGGTCGTGAAAGGATGTCAGAAAAGTCTTGGTCGAGAGTGACAGTCGCGAAGGAGCCTAGCCTAGCATCCAAAAGTCGTTACGGACGTGGGGTTGTCGAGTAACTCATGTATTTCAGATGCCCTCCTGGCTAGTAGGTTCGGAGGTATAGATTAGTAGGTACGATATATTAGACGAGTCGAAATCTGCTTTTCTTGATGGCGGAAGGGTCTTTCACTTTGCTTTCGTGGGCTTTTCATTCGCCCGACGGTGGGTATCACATGTTATAATATGACGAAGGCTTCTCTGACTACCGTTAAAGCGTTTGTTACGGCAGTATTTTTCCTCATTCCCGGCATCATTATCATCGTCTTAGTCGTCTTAGGTGTTATCGGAAGTTTATCTTTGACGGAGAGGAAGATAACCTAGGTCAAATTTAAAAAAGTGTCACTTAATCTCGACTCTGTAGATTCTATAGTGAGAGCTGAAGGTTTGTAGGGGACAACATCGACAGGTGTTGAGTTTCGTCGCCCTTTGGGCAGATGACTAAGGGTGTATCTTAGTAATTCACATAGGTACTGCCCGTTTATGCATTAGTACATATATTTTTCGCTTCAATTTATTGGGGATGAATTTGATTTCAATATCCTGATTTGGCACCCTATGGGCCCATGCAGGTGTCTATCATACGTTCTAATTTACATGGGAGGAATTCTTTTGGTGAGCCGGCAAAGAAGAATTCTTCACCTTCCAGTGGTGCCGGTGTAATCGCTCAGTATGCTCTGCATATCTGGGATAGCCAAGTAGAATCGCATCCGAATCGAAGTCGAAAGCAACCTCAAACACATCTCCATTTGACGACTTCTCGACAATGCCTCTCTCATCATTATCATCTGAGTCCTCAACCCATCTCTAACCATGCATCATCTCGCCTCAACGACCAATAAAGAAGTTGCTCTAATTGCATACAGGAGCTTGCCCCATTAATTTCCAGCCATCTCTCACTGCAAACTTACGACGCTATTTATACCCGCAAGGAGGAAATCAAGTCGACAAATTCAAAGCCTGGGTCTTGGCTTGTGGGGGACTGTTACTCTAATGGGACAAACAACTTGAGGGGGAACAGCTCTCTGAATGGCATGCTGGAACCGATATTTTCGAGGAGTTTTCAACTTTGGATTTTTTGTGGGCGTCAAGACCGAGATTTCGGCTAATTAGCCAGGAGGGCCTCTATTGTTGATGAGTCAACGGCACTCCCCAGCGCCCTGGACGTCACAAAAGAAGTTGGGCTAAGCTACCGTACAGCAATCACGCTCTGTCAAGACTTTTCTGACATTTCAGCACAACCTTCGGGAAGGAGTTGGAAGGAGGCTAGAAAGGTAGAGTATGAATTCTCCGAGGTACCCACAAGTCTGCAGCGCCCAGCTGGCCGGCCTCTTCGAACGCTTCAGGAGGGTCACTATGTCTTCGGATTTAGTCCTAATGTCGGTATTAGGAGAGCTCTGCACCCAGTGGTTCTTGCGATTTTTCCCGGCTGCCATACACCTGCAAATGGCCATCGTTTCGTTGGCTGGAAAGAGGAGATGATGAAGGGCAAAGGGCTCCTCTAAGTGTATGATCGAATGAGGACTTGTGAGGGGTGGTACTGTTTGAGGGGAGCTGTATGGGAGTCATAGGAGGGGATATACTACTGGTATAGGTATCCTTGGCCTGTAGGCAGAGAGGACCTTCACGTCCTACATAGTCATAGACCCAGACAGGACAATAAAATGAATTAACAATAAGAATAATAATAATAATAATAACCTTTTAGTGAAAACCCCTCAAACCTTCCTGCTTAATTTATATGTTTGTTACAATGTATCCTTCATGAAGCGCAGTTACACTATAGTGCCCTCCATATAACCCAATCACATCAGCTTCATCGACCTCAAGAAAGGCATGACCTATTTCTTTTTCTCAGCGGCATTTCGACCACCTTTGTCATCTGGAATTGCTCTATCCAACCATGATTTAGGATCCACTGTGTTATCCTTTTGATATCTCCAGGATTGTTTAGTATAGCTTCGTAGGACCGATCTTTCGCTTGTCTCCAGATCTCTCCTCTTCCGTTTGACCATCGAGAGCAGGACATAACCATGTGCTTGGGGTTCTGCGATTAATAGCTACATGGATAGCTCGGACTGTAGACTCCTGTTACTTTTATTCTATGTAAATACGAATTGAACCACATGTGCTCACTTCGTATTTGCATCGCTAGACTGCTTTGGGCCCTTGTCAGATTTCGGTGGAGTAGGAATGGCGATTCCTGGAGACTTATTTTCCATCGATCCGACTTTTGGTTCTTATAGAGCTTGACTGCTCTCCAGGTCTCGGGGTCGGCGATTGCTTTATGTCGAGATAGTTGGAGCCGCCTTTGATTTTTCAAGGATTTAGCCCATTCTCGGTATGTTGCAACTTTTCCTACCTCCTTCTGCCGTTTTTGTGAACGGTCTTCCCCACAAATTTCCACCCAGTTTGCCAGATCCAATCTCCTGTTATTGGCTCGAATATCTTCTCTCCCTCGTTTGCGCAGCTTGACATTACCACAGGCAGATTGTATGAGCTTCTGAACTGGTAGGTTTTTCGAGCAGCCAACGTATTGGAGTCTTTGCTGCTTCAGGTAGATTTCTATCGGTAGAGTGGCAGTTTCGTGTTCGAGCACTCACGTGCTAGTCGACTTATACGCTTCTGTCACTATTTTTAAGCAGTTTATTTGGATGCTTCGAATGGGTTTCACTATCCTTTCAGGTATTTTACCACCTGGCCCGGCCTCGGCCCAGATCGGGGATCCATACGTGAATGACGGTCTCACTATTGTGCTGTACAGTAGCTTTGCCTTATGAAATGTCGCCACCCATGTAGACTGTGTTAACCTGCTCATTACCTGAACCTGCGTCGCTGCCTATAGCTGTATATTTTTGACGTGCGGTACCCAGTTTAGGTTGGGATCGAAGTAAATTCCGAGGACACGGAGAGAAGGCTGCGGGACTATCGTGTAACCTTGTATTTCGATTGTTGCTTTCAGGTTGTGTTTTTTCCTTGATCGTGAGAAGTGCATCAGCTGGTACTTCTCGGGCGCAAATCTAACCCCATGCTTTATTGCTCACTGTTCGCAGACCTTATGCTTCCTTTCCATCTCTCTACAGTTTTCCTCGGTTTATCGTGACCATGTCAGCATATTTGTATCATCTAAAAACCCTACGGCTGAGGAAGAACTCGTGTTGAGAAGTAGAAGGAGTGTGTCGACGAAGAAGAGAAACAGTATTGATGATAATGAGAAGCCTTGAGGTATCCCTGTACTGGTAGATATCCGTTCTCCCTTGAATGACCCTAGCACTAGAGATGTCGTCCTCTCTTCTAGAAAAGACTTTATGTAAAGCCTGATCCACGTTGGGATTCCTTTTTCTCGTAGGTTATGAAGTAATCGTTCGTGTGACACGTTTTCAAAAGCTCCCGATATATCAAGTCTGAGCAGGGACGCCACTCGCTTTTTGTCTTTACCCCGAATCGTATGGATCTGCTCAGTTAGAAGCTCTACGGCGGAAATTGTAGACCTCATTGGCCTAATTTATTGGGCTGTAAATGCGGATTAAAAATTATACAAGGCTAGCAATTTAAGGTCCGTGCATAACGACGAATTTGGAACGATTAAATTGTAACATTCTCAGTGTCGCGTACAGAGCACCCTAGCATAGGGCGTACGGAAAATTTTTCTTTTATTCACAACATAACAGCAGTCGTAAAATGGGAAACTTGAACAAACCCGGGAGTACGTATGCACTTTATAAATTTGACAGGGAAAATTCTAAGACTATTTTTAACAGAGCCTAAAAGTAAACGGCAGCCTGTGCGACTCCGGCATAAAATTGAGAAAGCCTCAGCAGCAAAGCAAAAAAAGGCGCGGAAGGCAGCAAAAAAGAATCCTGAATGGCGGTCCAAGATAAAAAAAGATCCTGGCATTCCCAATCTGTTTCCCTTGAAAGACAAAATATTAGCAGAGATAGAGGAATCCCGAAGAAGAAAGACAGAAGAGGCTGAAAAGAGAAAAACAAATGCAAAGACAGCTAGAAACCAAGATAAATCTGGAGAGCAGGTGGAAATGGAGGTTGAAGCAAGGATGGAGGGAGTTGAAGGACAAGAAGCTCTGGATGAAGAAATGCACGAAGATACTAGCGATGAAGCAAATCCGATGGCTGCCTTACTAGCTTGTGCTAGAGCAGCTGCAAAAGATTATGAGGATAACCCTGAATCGGAGGATGAAATGGACGAAGATGTCTCCGACGACGACTCCGACGACGATAAAGTTGAAACATTAAATCTTGGCTCCCGCAAAGATGGATCAAGAAAGGCATTTGATAAAGTTTTTAAGCAAGTCGTTGACCAGGCTGATGTAGTACTATACGTTCTAGACTCTCGTGATCCCGAAGGAACAAGATCTAGGGAGGTGGAACGAATGGTCATGGCAGCTGCCAGCGGTGGAAAACGCATGATTCTCATTCTGAACAAAATAGACTTAATTCCTACCTCAGCCCTCAAAGCCTGGCTTACCTATCTCCGCCATTATTTTCCTACAATTCCGCTGCGAGCTTCAGGCCCAGCACCGAATGCTTGTACCTTCAATCATAAGAAATTGACTGTCCAAAATACGTCAGCAACCTTATTTAAGGCTTTAAAAGCTTACGCAGCAGCTAAACAGCTGAAAAGATCTATCTCTGTGGGCGTCATTGGCTACCCAAATGTAGGAAAATCCTCAGTTATCAACGCCCTTTCCTCACGTCTCAGCGGATCTAGTCTAGCCTGTCCTGTCGGTGCTGAGGCGGGCGTAACCACAGCTTTACGAGAGGTCAAAATCGATGGCAAGCTTAAACTTTTAGATTCACCCGGTATTGTTTTTCCAAGTGTAGGAAATGGCGGTAAGGAATCTAGGCAACAAGAACAGGCTCGATTAACTCTCCTGAACGCTATGCCCCCGAAGATGATCGGTGATCCTATACCAGCTATTACTTTGCTCCTAAAGCGTCTCTCTGCTTCTAAGGAAATGTATGAAAAGCTCTTAAGAGTATATGATTTACCGCCGCTAATGACGCGAAACGGAGATCCAACTATGGACTTCCTAGCGCAGGCAGCGCGGAAGAGGGGTCGACTAGGCAAAGGAGGTGTACCCAACATCAACAGTGCAGCCATGATGGTCCTTACAGATTGGCGAGACGGCAGGATCCAAGGCTGGACTGAGGCACCCGTACTGCCTGTTTCCTCGTTTTCGGAGACAGGACAGACACTTCCAGAAGGACTTGTCACTGGTGATCAAAAACAGATCGTGACAGAGTGGGCAGCCGAATTCAAAATTGAGGGGCTGTGGGGAGACGGCGAGAGCGAAACATTCGCTGAGGAAGGTTAAACTTCGTTACAAATATTTGATCTGATCATGTACGGGCTTGGGGTGTATAGGTGTTAAGTGGAATTTGACTAGTACTTTATTAGTCTTTCATCGCATCTTAAAAGTTCAATAAAAAATTACCTAGTTGCATTGAATTTAAAAGATGATTGATAATAGGGTGAACCAGGTGTTAGATAGCTATCTCAAAGATTATATCCGGGAGTCATCGGTCATCACCTGTTTATATTGGCCTCCAACCATATGTAGAACTTTACTGTAATGGCTCATATAATAAATTTGCTTCTATTAGGTGTTCTAATATTTCCTATCTGTTGTCACTGAACCGCATGTGTCCTGCGATTGATTCCTGCGGACAACGAGGCTTGGGGACACTACTTCCAACAATGACATATACCCTAGAAATATTACTGCACACCGACGTAGCTCATCGTTTTATGACTTTTTCCAGCTCCATCTTGACTTTCCGCTTGCCAGTGCCTTCTTCTTTCACATCACTTATACGTACGATAACCTTGCTAAATAACTCTACCTCGATTTCCCGGCTCCCACTTGTTTTTAGTACGTAGTTTTCTGCATCAAACTGGCCTACTGGCTCTATTTCAGCTAAGTCTCGCAGACGTATCAAGTTTTCAATGCCGAATCGTGGTACAAAAACAACGAATCCGTTTGAAAAAATCTTCATTACGAATCCCTCCTCTTGAACAATCCGGCCTTTAAGGGCCTGGCCCACATAGTACTCAATGGAAGCCCGACCCGCATATTGAGCATTACGGTGACGTATGTTAATGTTCTTACAGACCGTTTCTAGCTTGCCTCGGCTCCGTACACTAGCGTCTAGTGTCTCATAGTTGATTGCAGCCGCCAACTGCCGATGTGCAACAAGATCTGCGTATCGACGGATGGGGGAAGTAAAATGTGTATAGATCGTAGAAGCCAGCCCGTAATGACGGAATTCAGGGTAAGCCTGAGTCCCTGAACAGAAATATTCGGCTGATGTCATACAGCGCGTAGCTATAATTCTCACCATAGTATTGAAGAAAGGTTCCTGGACATCAATACATTTATCGAGTGACTCAGCAAGTTCTTTCGAAGACGAAGTGCGAAGTTCTAAGCCACGCTTCACCTTGAGTTGGTTGGCAAGTTCTTCGAAGTTAGTTTTCGGTGGTGCGCCATGGCGACGAAGCATAGCTGTCTGAGGAAATGCTTCATATATTTTGGCAGCTACACTAGTATTAGCGAGTAACATAAATTCCTCAACTAGAGACATTGTATCTAGATGCTTCTTCGTTTTGATATCAATAGGATCAGAAGTTTCGGATTCTGTTTGAACTCGAACCTCCGGCGAGGAAAGACTAAGAGCTCCAGCCTCCATGCGCTTTTTGTTGAATTTTTTAGAGAGCATTAATAGAATTCTCATAGATTTAGTCAGATCATCTTGCTGCATCTCATCATCCACCCTGGTCTGAGCTTCTTCGTAACTAAATGCCTCGCGAGATTTGATAACCGATTTGGTAAATTCTGACTTGATAATATTAGCCTCAGGCGTGATTTCCCAGATGGCTGAGAAAGCATAGCGCTCAACGTAAGGTTTGAGCGAGCAGAGATCGGTACCGAGAAGCATGGGTAACATATCGATTCGTTTATCAACAAGATAGACAGTTGTGCCTCGAATACTAGCCTCTGTGTCCATAGCAGTGTTGGGCTTGACGAAGTGTGACACATCTGCAATATGCACACCAACCTCAAAATTACCGTTGGGTAGTGGCCGAGCATGTAAGGCGTCGTCAATATCTTGACATCCAATAGGGTCTATACTGCAAATCCCCAAATGCCTCAAGTCACGCCTATTGATCCATCCGGGATCCTCGTTGTTTTGAGGCACTACCCAGTTATGGCCTTGAATAGGTAAACAATCTAGTACCGATTTTGGGAAGGGCCTATATTGGACGTCAAATTCAAGTAGTAGCGCCTCAGTCTCAGCTTCCTTTGTTTCTAAATCTCCCAATGAACGGACAAAATGCCCCACGGGGTATCTTGAGTCTCGATCCCATGAGTCGATGGTCACTAATACTCTTTTTCCGATTATTTCGCCGGCTTGCCTTGTTCTAATCCGAATTTTCGGTATTTTTTTGTCCATGGGAATTAAAAAGACTGTTTGTTGCTTTCTTCCTAATTTAAGGGATTGATTCACTGAAGATTCATCCACGTGGCCAACATATTGTCGCCAATTTCTCTTGATTATACCTACAACCTTTGCCGCCGGTTGCGGTCGGCCTTCGAGATTATTACGGTGAACCATTTTAACTTCTTCCTGGAGCGCTTTTTTTTCCCTTTCCGTCACTACAGCTTCTTCGTCTTCCGCTTCCGCGTTCTCGTACCTATTAAGTGTCTCGTCTTCAATAATTTTTGTACTTGATTCCTTCCATTGATCTCTAGGTAAGACTTCAACAACAATGACGTCCCCCTGTATTGCTCGATTTATATTCTCTTTTCCCAAGATGATTAAACTTTTGTCAAACGTAGGAACGTGCACAGAGCCTTCTAGGTAATTGTAAGGTGACACATTAAATATGCCTTGATGCAGTGTTCCATTCTTCACACCGGTCATCATTTTACTGAGTGAAAAATATTCTGGATAGATGTTTTGAGATGTGCTTCCTTGTCTCACATCTAAGCTTTCTTTTGATGCAGAAAGCATATCAAGTAGCTGGTCGGAGTTTTCTAGGCTTGATATGTAATCTTCGAGAGAGGCGGCATCAATTCCATCTCTTTTAGCTTTTCTTAAATTTTCTTTATCATTACTCAACATTACCACGCTCGGTACTTTCGCTTTTCCTCTCACGGTCTGCCTCAGATGTTCAGCGTACCACCTCACAGCTCTTCGGACAGCACGATCATTTCGATCATTAATGCTTTCACCCGCATCGCGTAACACGTAAGTTTCGAGGCGAAAGTCATTGAAGAAGACATAAAAACGTTTTTCTTCGCTCTTTGTCAATCCAATCAAGCGGTTATAGAGCGGTAACGAGCGATTCCTCAGTTCTTCGAGGACTGTTTGTAGAATTATAACATCGTAAAATGCAGAGGTTGATTCGAATAGATCTAGTGCATTAAGAAGAGCATTTGTGTCTGGAACTATATAGTGGCCGAATTTATAAACGCTAGTGCTTGCAGGCGTTGCAGAGAGGACGAATGGTGCAACTTTTAGATGTATCAGATGTTGCTCCAATATTTAACGAAATATCTAACCTACAATTGTTTCTTGAATTTCTAGGAGCGATGTCGAGGCAGCTAGCACACAGCCTTGAGGAACAGGGAATATCTTGCCTTAAGTAAAGTTCCCGTACAATCTTTTGTACCTTGCCACTCTTCGTAGAGCGGATATAAACCTTACTGGATATATTCTCGGTGTAAGGATCTGATGCAAATGAATTCTTCAGGCTGATCATATTGCTTTCTTGTGTGAGATATCACTATGGACTAGTCGCTATCACCTGTAAAACTGTCAGTTTAGGCCGGTTTAAGCATACTTAGTGACACGATGAGGCTGAGTAGTAGATATTTTTCGGTTAGTTGGCTTGAAGCGGTTTTCGCAACTCCCGTAAATCCAAACCTTAGACAATTCTTCTTTCCGGAGGGCCAGACTGAATACCTGTGTGCAGTGTCCTTTACGATTCTAGGGTGCAACATTATCCCAGAGCCAACTTCAGTCAAATTTCGCAATACTCAAGAAGTTGGCCCAAGAGACAATCACTCTAGACACTCCATCATGTCAATTTTTCACTCTCAACTAGATAGACTCCTAACAATGGCTCATCAATTATACAAGGACGACGTAGTACATCCTCGTTTCAATGACTGCACCTCTCATCGTATTTTCTCTAGCCTAAGCTGACCACCAAATACACGCCGATATTGATGCTCGACGGAGGAAACAAAGCGTGGCGCACAAAGCTGGGAGACAGTTCTTTGGAATAGGCACGAGAGGGATCAGGACAAGTTCATGAGATGATGCAGAGGATGGATACAATCTTGACAAGTGTGAAATTTGAACTTTGGCAAGGAGTTTTACGAATTGAAGAACATTGTGCGCGCCAATAATTTGTTAATATAACGCAAATTATACTGTGGTTAACGACATGGTTGGATGGTACTGTGGAGCATCAACTGGGCCAGTCCACCGGGTAGGTTCTATTGAGCTGAGGAACGAACATTTTATCTTTGAATGATGACCGCTGGCTCGAATTCATTGACCTCTTGCTTCTTTTTTCGCGGTACTTGTGTACAGGATGATGAAACACTACTAGGCAGCCATTATTATTGAAACATCAATGGTAGGTACTTACGGGGGGAGGGGCAGCTTTTTTATGTAAGTAAACATACCTAGTAGTGCTATTTACAAATAAAATCCTGATCATGAGTGACTTTGAATTCAAAGGAATAGGTTAATTTGTACACATTGCATTGATCACATACTGAAGCTAGATGGCGGAATACACTTTAAATGATAAAAAAGGCACCCACTGAACAAAATACCCCTTCACAGCTCGTAATTTGCTGATATACTTAGAGGAACCATTAGCCCTTCATGATCTACCCTCAACAGCCGAGAAGATGGGGGCCGTTAATTGTGAATTGCAGCCGTAGAAATTTGTATAGACCAAAGAATGAGGGGCTTTCATACTACTGATATTAGAACTAGATCCGAAGACACGGTGAGCCTTCTGAAGCGTTCAAAGAGGGCTGGCTAGCTGGATGCTGCAGACTTGTGTTTAACTCGGAAAATTTACCCTAACTTTCTAGCCTTATTGTGATGGGAATGCTATTTGGCAAAGATACTTATATTTACATAAGGTGATTAGATTTAAAGATCATACTAACACTGCTAATAATATTTGCTATATCAGTCTCGAAGGCTGGATGGTGCAGTGGTACACCTGGGCCGTCCTCTAAAGTAGATCTTGAGCGGCTTGAATACACACCCCGTTAGAGACAGGAGAAAGCTGATCCACACGCAGTATAATCCTGTACTTCATTCTTGCTCGGTGTTATTATGTTTGTGCGATGATGAAAACACCCTCGGACAACCTCAGGTTTTTCACGCTTTTCCCTGAGCTGGGTATGTACGGAAGAGATTCTTTGGCGTAAGGGTTAACCTCGAGCGGTATCTGCGAATGAAATCTTAGTGTGAGTGTTCAAAACGTCAAATTGGGTCGCACTACTCTTTTTATGTTGCATCAGATTTTAATTGCATATGCAGCTATCTAGCTATGATACAATATTAAAGAAAGGTACATAATAGATAACTCAATATACAAGAAGAGCACTTATGCCTCGGATTTCATTTGCAAGTACCACTGCGAAGTTATGGTGGCTTTTGTGCTGGCGTTGTTTACTGCTGTTAATAGGAGAATCCGCGCGTGTAATCTATTGGGATTAAAGGGACTCTAGTACCTGTGTTAAGAAGAGAAGTCGAATTGAAATCCTTTTATCTTTCATGATTGCATAAGCTTCCATCTACTAACAAGTCCACAAACTAAGTAGTGAGTCATATTTATAATAACTGGTGTTTGATTTGATTTCATTTAGCCAGTTCGGGTATATCTAGCTATAATATTTGCACAGGAGGACACCAAATTCGGTAATAACCCCCTAAAACTGTTTGTCTGGTGTCTATTGGTTTTCCGAGGTTTCCTATAGGAAGTGCGATTACACTGTTTATACAGTGTGAAATCGTCTTATCCTTGTCCATATCGTCTCATCTTTACGTCCAATGCTATTTCTACTTTTCCTGCAAGCCGGAATTATTCAAACCAGCCTTTTACCAGGATCCACTTTGTAATTCTCTCCATTTCATCTGGGCTATTTATCATTGCCGCAAATGACCTATCTTTTGACTTTCCCAGCACCTCTCTTCTTCCCATTGCCCACTGAGGACACGCCAAAACCATGTGTTTGACATTTTGAGACGGATATCCACACTGACGTTTTAGATGGATCACTCCGGGGACTTTCTCTCGATACAGATAAGAATTGAGACCAATGTGCTCACTTCTTATCTGAACTGCAATACTGCTTTGGGCTCTACTAAGGTTCCGGTGGATGTTTGAGGGTGTGTTTCTGTAGATCATCCTTTTTCTACCTGTTATCTCATCTGTAACAATAGTAACTGGTGTTATTAATGATACTAGCGCCGGAGTAATCCGAGGAGACCATTGAAGTAGTCCTCGTTCACGTCATTAGAGGGCGTGCGACTTTTTGTTAGATTTCCGTATATTGACCACATTCTATCTTACGTATCTTGTTAATATCTTGTCCCATGACTCCTATCTTGTATACTATCTCGCCCTGTAACAGTAGTAATGTGTACCACGACGTTAAATAATAATAAGTAGTGAGTCTGTATGGCTCATGTTATCATATCACGCCTCCTGTGTGTAGGGCGTAAGCTTAATACGAGTAATAGCCGTATAAAGTCAGATCATCATGGGCTGAATTGTGTTTATCTACAACGAACTATTACAGTTACATTGAATATTAAAAATAGGGATAAAAGTTAAAATGTGATACTTCTTAGGGTTGAGTTTGAGTTTGAAATCTTTTACGTGACAGGAAGAACCTAACATCTATTTAGACGTGACACGGGTAGATGGGCTCTGAAAGCTCATTGCTACCTACATGACCGGCAGTGGGGCCAGAAGCGACAAAAAAAAAGATTGAAAAAAAAAAAAAAAGAACAGTATGTGTCTGAGTTACGGTGCCCTGCGCCGCATCCCTATCTTCCACACCCATCTACTCTCGGGTCAGAAACAATCTCAGCGTGGTCACCTCCCACCCTGTTCATTCTTCGGCAGACTGTAACATCGGCTTGTAGTTAAGAATCGAATGAACTTCTGCCATCCCTTCTCCCCTATCATTTCTCTGGCCCCAGGTGGGGCCATTTTCTCATAGATTCTCCAACGTAGCAAAGCAGGTCGGCACTCTGAAAAATGCCAGGGCCTTTTCTCTCGGCCGCAAACGCATTTCAGATCTTCATGTTCGGGGTTGAGACGTCGATAGTAGTCGGCATAGTCCCCGTGGCCTGTTCTTGCCGCAATAAGACGATGGTACGCCCATCTTGGTAAAGCTAGTTCCGGTGGTCTTTTGCAACGCATGAATAGGTCCAGATCTTTGTATCGTTTCGGTCGATACTTCTGCCACCACTCTTCCACGAGCTCTTGGCTACGCTGTTTAACCCACCTCCCTAATGCCGCAAATGTTAGATCTTGATCTTCTAGAATGGGCGCAGCTGAGGTTAGTGACCGGTTATTGGAAGCTCCCAAGGCTGATTTGGCCAGCTTATCGGCCTCTTCATTGCCTTGAATCCCTACATGCCCGGGTATCCAGCGTATTTCCACACGCTTATTGTGTCTCAGCGATGAAAACTTGTCCACCACCGACTGCGAGGAATTAGATCTTCCTCTTTCGAGCGCCTGGGTGGCCGCTTGGTTGTCCAGAAGAATGCAGATCAGTAAGTCTTTTCCTACCTCTATTGCAGCCTTCAAGGCTTTCATGGCACCTACAACTTCTGCATCGAATACCTCTGCTCCGGGAAGTGGACCGGAGCCACTTGTAACTAGCTTGCCTCCTTGGTATACTACATACCCCCAGGCTGATTTCCCGGGACCCGATGATGATCCATCAGAGAAAGCGAAGACTGTGTTAGCTGGGCGGGAAGCTAACCACCGCTTTATGCTTCCAGACCTAGCTTCATTTTCTCGACTACATGGAATCGATGCTGGAGTGCCACGTGGGAAGTATAGCTTTCCGGGGCCTTCGGCTGTCGGAACTCGACGCACACTCATTTGTAGGCGTGTCATGTACCGTTCTGGTTGTCTAAACAAACGATTTCTTTGTCCCGATCTAAGACCTAAGCGTCTTATTGTCTCTTTCGGATCCTCGGTCGCCCGAAGGGCCAGAGGGTGCCAGAAATCCATTCTTCGCATACGAGCTGCAGACCGCAGCATCTTTTGCTGAAGAATTATCGATGCCGGGGGTATTCCCGCTTCACGATGAAGAGCAACATTGGGAGTGGTACGCCACGCTGGGAGTGCTACTCTAATAGCTTTCATTATCGTTTTTTCCAATAGAGATATGTGCCAGCCTACTCCAGTGCCGACTTCTTTATCTCGCAGTGTGGTTATTCGAGTGAGACCTGGCCACCACGCTTCTGCCCCGTATAGAGCTGTGCTCAGAACGCATGCATGTACCGCACAAATCAGAGGTCCGGGTGCTGCACCACGTTGAACTCCGTTTATATGTCGTAAGAAATGGACTAGACGATTAGCTTTTCCAGTCCATTCCTGTACATGTTGCTTGAAGTTTAGCTGGGTATCAAGCCAGATTCCTAGCCACCGGATATAAGGTGACGGTTCGATCCGGCGATCTTTCACCAAGATGGAAAGACCAG